TCAATCAGCACCGTATTAGTGCCTCTCTTGACTTACCAGCACTGAGCAGGTATCAGTCTTTATACATCTAGTTTCCTATTAGCAAAGACCGGTGTTTTAAGTAAACAGTCGTACTCTTCTATTCTGTGCCACGATTACAAAAATCGTACTCCTTCTCCCGAAGTTACGGAGTCATTTTGCCGAGTTCCTTCAAGATGATTCGCTCAACGCCTTAGTATTCTCTACCTACAGACCAGTGTCGGTTTAGGGTACGGTTAAAAAATTAAATCATTTCCTGAGTTTCTATTCCTAATTCAACTATTACTAATTGAATCGAAATAAAAACTGTTATTTAATAAAGTTTTTTTCATCAGTTATTGCTTTCGCAATTGAACCTTAGAGGCCGTTACTTTACTCATGGAGGTTAAACCTAGCCATGAAACCCTTCTGTTTTCGGCGAATGGGATTCTACCCATTTTTACGTTACTCATGTCAGCATTCTCTCTTCAGTTATGTCCAAATAAGGAAACCCTATTCTTCTACCATGTCCTGAATGTTCCGCTACCCTCCAATTTAATATTGGGACAAAATCTCGGTATATTACTTAGACCCGATACATTTTCGGTGCTCCTGAAACATAAACAGACCATTGAGCTGTTACGCTTTCATTAACGGATGGCTGCTTCCAAGCCCACCGAATGGTTGTGTTATTTCATGAACTACCTTAATTTCACTTAGTAATATTTAGGGACCTTAATATTTGTTCTGGGCTGTTTCCCTCTCGACTAAAGACCTTAGCACCTATAGTCTGACCGTTCTTTATTTACTGTAAACCATTCCGAGGTTAGATTACCCAAATCAAAAGATTTGGGAACCAATTCAAAATTAGTTCTATTGATAGAGCCATCACGACCCCCCAATCAAGTCCACGAAGGACATAGTATCCAGTGCTGTACCAGCTTACAGATATGAAGAACAACCTACCAAAATAGGTTTCGCGGAATACCAGCTATCTCCAAGTTAGATTAGCCTTTCACTCCTTTACACAGCTCATCGGAATCTATTGCTACAGATACCCGTTCAGTCTATAATAACTTGGCCATGTAAAGATCACTTGGTTTCGGGTCTAATTCATGATACTTGCCCATTTAACATAGTCGCTTTCGCTAAGTATTTCTACTTGCATCATAAATTAACTCGCTGACCCATTATGCAAAAGGTACGCAGTAATCCTGTATTTAAACTAGGATGTCTGCTGCTTATAGAACTACCAGTTCAGGATCTTTTCACCAGTTAACTACTTACTTTTCAACTTTCCCTCACGGTACTCTCCACTATCGCTCAATGCATCATATTTAGCCTTAGAGGATGGTTCCCCTATCTTCAGACAAGTTATCTCTCATCCTACTCATTTTTCATTTCTAACACTTCAATAAATCAAAATCGATTGTACAGGACTTTCACCTTCTATGGTTTGTCATTCCAAACAAATTAGAATCGAATAGACAAATTCAATCAAAAAGATTGAATCGTTTCATTGGTTATTAAAAATTGGCTAACTCGCTTTCGCTCACCACTACTAACGAGATCTCGTTTGATTTTTTTTCCTTCTACTACTTAGATGTTTCAGTTCGTAGAGTTGTTCATTCTCCTTACGGAGAAATTTGGTTTCCCTTAGGATCATCCTGATTATTCAATTTTTCATCAGGATATTTGGTATAAACTACCTCCTTCAGATGCATTGGCTAGTCATCCCTGATAGTCCCTTTTTTTCTTGATCATACATTATATATCGTTATTGGATACTTATTTTAAATCAGATACAGATTTAACTTAAATAGAATAAGAATAGAATATTTCTATTATATAAATAATACCACATTACTTTACGTTCATTGACGACTGAAATCAAAAGATCCATCTACCGAGGGCTAAATAAAATCCTTATTTAGCCTCTAAGCTGGGACCCAAAGTCCTGCAATCCGGGATTCAATAAAAGTAATAGAATTATCCCCTTAGATATTTGAAATAAGAGTCTAGCCCGCAGGGGGCCTGTCCCCTCCGGGTAAGTCCCTCGGGGACTCGGGATGATAAAAATCGTAAATCGTTTCCCATTAGGGTTGATTTTTCGATTCAATCTCTTTAACCAATAAATAACCATAGAACAATGCCTCAATTAGTACCTTTCTATTTCTTAAATCAACTATCGTACGGATATCTTGTATTACTGATTTTATTATATGTATCATCTAAATACATCCTACCAAACTTTATGGTTGTACAATCTGCTCGAATGTTTTTAGCTTCTAAATAAGTTAATTCCCTTCGGGTCCTTTAATACTTTTAATATAATGAAGGGATTAAAACAGAAAGTATGTCAGATTAAAATAAACTATGAACCTTAAACCCAGTCCACAAAGATAGACTTTCTTTAAGAAGACTTTATTTAAGGTTATATAATAAAGGTGGATTTATCTTAATTTACCTTGTACGGTAGTAACATATGTCACCTGTGTTAGAAATTGGAATTAGCTTCCCCACCAGTAAACACTGATGAATAGGAATAGCCAAACTACATCAACAAAATGCCAATAAAGAATAGCTGTTTCAAATCCTAAGTGGTGGTGATCTGTTAGATGGTATGATAATACTCTAAATAATCCTACTGTTAAGAAAATAGTACCAATGATTACATGAAGTCCATGGAATCCAGTAGCCATATAGAAAGTAGAACCATATACACCATCACTGAATGTGAATGGAGCATTATAATACTCAAATCCTTGGAAACCAGTGAATACTACTGCTAATGTAATAGTAGCAATTAATCCGTAGATTACTCCAGCTCTATTTCCTTGAATTAAGCTATGGTGAGCATAAGTTACAGTTGCACCAGAAGAAAGTAAGATTACTGTATTTAATAATGGTACTTCCCATGGATTCAATGCTTGAATTCCTGCTGGTGGCCAGTGTGCTCCTAACTCTACAGTTGGTGCTAAAGATGAATGGAAGAAAGCCCAGAAAATACTAATGAAGAAAAATACTTCTGATACTACAAATAAAACAAACCCTAGAGTTAATCCTTTTTGAACTGCAAAAGTATGATGTCCTTGGAATGTACCCTCTCTAGATACATCTTTGAACCATAAAGTCATTGTAGCTACTGTAGAAATTAATCCAAGAGTTAATAAGAATGTTCCATTAGAATACCCATGGAATGTCATTACTCCAGATAAAGTCGTTGTTAATAAAGAGAACGATACAGCTAATGGCCATGGAGAAGCTTCTACTAAATGAAATGGATGTGCTTGTACAGATCTGTTCATAATTTAATGTCAACCCATCTTTTTTTATAAAATATCTTT